GAAAACAGCATTCACAGTACATTACTGTCACTAGGATTCTAGGTTAAAAGGTAGATTCCTGTATTTTGATATTGAACAAGGCTTTTTTTTTTTTTAAATGTATCAAGACTAATGTATTTCATAGATTAGGTTATGGGTCATATTGAAAGCAATGAATCTTCCAGGTTTATCTAACCTGCAAGGATTCTCCAATGGGTGGGGGGAGTTTGCTAAGTAAATAAAAATCTCTTCATTGTGCCAGAAATTAAAGAGGAAACACAGGAGCAAATAAAGGGGAAAGAAATATGGGACTCTGGCAGTTTTATTGTATTTACTTTTAGTGAGAGCAGAAAAAAGTTCCTTCAAGCAACACGAAGACCTGCCTTGCAGAAAGCCAGTCGCTACATGATTTACTCCAGTGCAGTTCACATAAATTTTCCAAGCGGTGTCCTGAGAATAACTGAACATCACATGGCAATCAAGCTACTAAGACTATTCACTGAACTAAGGCTTTACACAACATGGTTCTCAACCATCTCCAATCTATAATTCTGCACTCTGCAAAGAAACAAATACGAACAGCTAGTCAAGTCATAACATCTTGCACATACTTAAGTATTCACATAAAGGCAGAGACTTTCTTTATAAAGTACACTGCATCACAGACCAAGCTGGATTTTGAAACAGTAGGCACTCCAAGAGGGGCGTGAAACAGATGGTAGTTCAGAGTGACAAAATGTGGCAATATAAAACAGTCACTGCTAAGTGTAAAGGCAAGTGAAGATCCTAGATTTATCTCGTCCATTCATACATGGCATTAAAGCCCTCAGAAAAATGTTTACCTTGCTAAGTAATATAAGGAATGGGCAAGGTGCATATCCCTTTCTATCATTATTATATTGCCATCAAGATTACAATTTAAAAAAAAAAATCTTTGAAGGAGGCAGAAAATTAATCTGAAACAGTAACTTAAAATTTAACTACAAGCAGGAATTTGAGCATTGAGATTACCTGAAAAGACAAGCAAAACACCAGGCAGCTGAAGTACTGCCACACTGGAAGCACTGCTTTGACTACTAGCCCTGGAGATACTAGTCTTCCAAGTAATATGTATTTTTAGAAAACATTGTGAGGACTGAGACAGGGACAAGTCTCCCCGATTTTTCTTAAACATTCTCTGAAACAGTTCATATTTTTCATTTGCAAAACTGCTTTATTAAAACTGTTCTGAGCTAGTTAAAAAGTATTACAGAAACCTCACTAGGGTAGATGGGAGAAGTCTCCAAAGCAGATGCAAGTGCAGGGAAGAAGAGCTAAAAAAAACTTCTATGAAATTTAGCATTAATACAAGGGAACAAATACTTAAAAGCCATCACCTGTACAAGTATAAAGAGAACAAGAATGTCAATACAGAAATGACTACTTTGAACACTTCTCAGCATAATACATAAGAAAGCATTATTGTTCCCTAAAATACTCAGAGAAAATAATTTCATCAGGTGCTTTGTAAATACTGTTTTAAAAAGTTCAGAGATCAATTAAGCAATGTATGAAAAATAATAGCTGTTTCTAGTCTGCTACAGAGGTAAAAACTGAGAAGAGATTAACACACGAAAGCTAGAAAGTTTGTTATAACACATTCCAATTTTTACAACTAGTCTTAGTTTATTAGGAAAGGAACTAATATAAGTTCTTTCTGTGAATGTCCCTATTCTCATGTCCCTACAATTTTTAACCTATTTCTAATTTCAACCAGTTCCAACAGAGTTACAGCTTCCAAAGATATACAAGCTCTTAAAAAGTTACATAAAAATAAATGGAGAAGTCCAGAAGCCCTTCTAACTTGTCCCTACTTTCCCCTTAAAAAAACCCTGCAGCATTAACTCAACTGTTTTAGACACAAGGTGATAAACATAACCAGTGCCAAGGCATAATAAAGCTTCAAATCAGAGCTTGAACTAGAAACCAGAGAACCTAACCACAGAAGCTACAAATCTATAGGACTTTACTAGTGTCATTGCTTATAAGGGGGAAAAAAAGCTTATCTCCTGCAAGTAATTTTCTGTCAAGACTACTGCCTGTTAAGGGAGAGTTTCTAGATTAGCTGACTGCTTGTTTTCCAATTCCTGTGCTGTTCCAGCGTCTGACTCAACTTCTCTGCAGTCCTGAAGTCACCTAGGAACATCCCATCTGTACACAGCAACTGTGCTGAAGTCAGCTGTTCCTCATTTGCTCTTACATATTTCAGTCTGATTTCATCCCTCCATTGTTTATACATAAAAATTTTGCAAATTAATTTTTCATACTTTCTCATCAAATGCAAAGTACTACCAGAGATCAGGAAGACATTTTAGAAAGCATTTCAAATTTTACTATTCTTGAAAATTCTAAACACATGCCAGGAGCAGGTGTGTGAAAATTTTCCTGAAACACTTGAACTTATAAGGATGCTTTCCCAAGTCATGACTTATGTGTGTTTGAGGTAATTTCCACTGTTTCTCAGAGATTCATTTTTCACATTCATATGTTATTTCACTTATACTCCACATTAAACAGTATTTTCTAGTCTTACATCCTCCCTCACCAGTAAATGCCATGATATACAACTGTGGGAGAACTGAGAACAGAATTAAACTTCTACCTTAAGAAGCTGAGATTTCCTGACAGATTCCTTAAGCCTTCCCCTATCCATAGGGAACCAAGCGTTGGAAAAACTGCCAAGAACTGTTATTTGTCAGTAATTTCTGCAAAATTACATGTCCAAACAGTCTTTCTGTTCTTCCTGTAGCCCCATGCAGATAGTACAGAACAGTATATTTTAGCTTGTGTTTTTAACAAAGGTTTCATATCAATAAGAAGCAAAAAGTTTGCAAGCTAATGCTGTCTAGGCAGTTAAACCAATTTTAATCAAGGTAACATAAAAAAACCCCAGCATAAGCCACAGAAAATTCCATCATTTTTACTAGTATTAAAACTATGAAAATATATGCTGATCTACCATTTAACCTGAGCTTCTCTACAGTGTCGTTTGATGAGCCTTTTCATTTTTCACCAGAAAAGCTACAACCAAAGAGAAAAACAGTTGATTTCCCTATATGCCATGCCAATAATTCTAAAGATAGTCACTTAAAGTGATATTTATTTCTGAAGAGTGACTTTTCTAAGCAGCATTTGTTGACATTTCCACATTAATATTACTGTGATTTTAATGTGGCCTCTAAATGAGGTAACTCCATCCTACGAATAAGCCTCAGTTCAAGTTGATAGAAAGCTAAGATTTGAGGAAAATCTATCTAAAACACCTTTTAACCTTCAAAAGTCAATTATGATCACTTTAAATGTATTTATAATCATAAAAGTTTTATTATTTATTCAAATGCTCTTTACTTCAGAATTACAGATGATATCTTTATCTGAATTTGGCAAGAGGGGGTCAGGTACTGGTAAGGTTGAAATTGTCGAAGTAGTTACTAACACAAAAACCACCCCAAGCTCTGTGCCCCTGCAATCTCTTACAATCATCCATGAGAATAAATTATTTTGCCCCCATCAAAGTGATACCCATTTGTGCAAGACAGACTTCTGTTACAGAACAGTAAGTGAAGAAATCTAAAAACTTGCACTTTCCTGACCTCCACTTAATCAGTACATAGAAAAAGCAAGAAACATAATTTTTCACTAGGGAGAGAGAAAAAGGAAAGCCACCCATGTGTGAGTGGACCAAGGAAATGAAGTAATATAAGACAGTTTATTAGAAGAGCAGTTTCATATTTAAAAAAAAATTAGCAAGTGATCAGGGAAGCATCAAGAAACACAAACTTAATATGGTCTTCAAAACCATTGTTTAAATAGTTAATTCATCATACCTTCCATGCCATTCAGACAATCCAGCTTAAGTGGCAAAACCAAACAACTCCTGAAACAACCCACCAACTCACCTCATGTTGCTGATATCAACTTATGGACCTGGCTTAGGAGCTGTGCAGCCGCCAATTCTTCATAAACTCCATGCAAGAAACAAAACTGGAAGGGTTCAACCGTTTGTTACCATTGCTTTCAGAGAATGCTTTTTTCCCAGTTTTCAACTAATATCACTTTTCTAAACTAACAGCTAAATCTTATTCTTTCAGGGACCAATAACAGAGGTCTGGAAAACCAAGAATCTACCTTCCTCAATAGACGAGTTGAAAAAGTATTTTTGTCACTGCTACCTGCGCAAATCCCCATGATCTGCAAACAGGACTGGAGAAATTAAATTCAATTTACAGCACACCACTGCTGATGGAACCAGTCTGTCTTTCAGAAGTTCACAGAAACTGCTAGTTAGTTACCCATCTCCCTCATTTAAAGCAAGGGAATATAAACACACCAGAACCTATACTCTTTTTCACATTTTCTCATTTATAAAATGAACATAATTTTCTGGTTTACAAAAAACATTTTTTGATACATCTCCCTTCCTTAAACTATGCTAAACTGACAAAGCATCTTTCACACAAATGACAGGTTCAGGTCTGGCTGAAGTAGCAACATTAGCAAGATTTTCCCACACATTTCCTGATCTTTGCAGAATATGTCCTCACTCAAAGCATCCCATAACAGAGAAAGAGTTGCAACATAAGCCAGAGAGGGTGGATAGAAGGTGGAAAGAAGAAAGCAAATCTTTCAATTTAAAGATAGCTCTTCTGGGACAGGAAAAAAGGTGCTGTCAATAGTCAGGATATTACTGACTGGTTATGAAACAATTAGGACTGCTGGCATCTGGTCAAGATGATGTGAAGGATTACCTGAAGTGAGTTAAGGTAGCTCAAATGCTCAAGGAAAGTGAATAGAAAGAAGGGAAATAGGAACATGAGTCTATTCTCTGAAATTTTGTGAAATTCTGTTAGTACCGGGGATTAAAAACCTCTGAAATTGTATGGTGTTTTTTCATGTCTCCTGGCATTCTGGAGTCAGAAGTAGTCATTCAATACTCATACAATTATATTAAGTACAATATAAACAAGAAGAAAATTGTTTTGGACATCTTTATTATTTAATAACACAAAGGCAGGAGTTATTGCTCTAAAGATATATCAAGAACCCAGGATTGCAGCTGCAAAACTCAGAGCATGATAGTAATATGCTAACACAATGCCGAGAGACAAGAAGTATCAAAATACTGACTGTTGAACAACGACAGGTTTTTTGGTTTGTTGGTTTGGGTTTTCCCAGTTGTGACTGAGAGGGAGTAATTTCAACAACTGAGACAGCATTAGAAACAGTTCTCAGTGCTCCTATTACTCTACTGTTCTAAGTATTCAGTGTGCATAAGTATTTGATAATCTTAAATTCACCTTATGCTACAGAACAAACTGACCAAAAACTGTGGCTGAGGCAAGTATACCTATTAAGGAAGGCACAAAAGATATCAAACCCTAAATAGACTAGAAGTTAGAAAAACAGGTATTTTCAACAAAAAGCACTGCTAGCATGAATCCAAGATGTTAGTATTTATTTCCAAGACTCACAGATCTTCATCTTGTAACCTCAAGATTACGCCTGTTCAGCACACAATTCATGTCTATACCTATAACAGCTACTCAGTTTTAAGGTCATCACATAAGTATTTCTATATATTAGAAAGAAAACGTATTGAATTTGATACATTAAATTGGTTTCTCTTTAAACTTCAAAATTCACAAGTGTTACGGTGGTTGCATAGTTTAACATTAGCATCTGACTATCAGTTTTCTAAAAATAACAGGTTATAAATTTAGCATTTTACTTGATAACCACAGAAGCATCAAGACGAAGTTTGATATGCACAGAAAAAAAAGGATATTAAAAGCCATCCAACAGAGCGCCAAATTTCAGAAGGTCCACTGAAAATGGCTTACTACATAAGCATGTACTTAAACAGCACCATCTGAACAATTATTTTTAGAATGTACTAAGACTGCAATGCATTCCAGCATAGTAAGAAGTCACAAAGGCCATGAAGCAGTAGCCCCAGGGCTACATTAAGACTGTTCAACAATTTATATATGCTGGTGAATTTAATGAAAGATCTAGGCATTAGTTAAAAAACAATGCTTTGTGGTAACTGATTTAAGAAATTAATTGGATTCAAACACAAGCATCTGACTAGTTTACTCCAACTGCCAGAAGCAGAAAACAGGAAAATAAAAGTGCTCTTTACATACTGCCAGAGGGTCCGGTTCACCCTCCTGCCACCCCTTCTCATACACTCAGCTTCAGAACAAAGCTTTTCCCTTTCCTAATCTGAACATTAAAAGTAAGTCCTGTTCTTCAAATCTAATTTCCTATAGTGAAAAAGAATAAAAGTACAAGGGCGTGTGTGTGTGTTGTTCAGTACTGCCAAACATAAGGTTTTTATTTGAGATCTTGCAAGACATTTAATTAGACTATAGAATCCCTTAGGGGAAAAACAATTAAAAGCTTTCTACCAAATAACTTTTCACTCTTAGAGAAACATCTATGTTTTCCCACTTTCATAGCTCAACACTTCCAATGTATCTTTTCTTGACACAAAACCACAGGAAACCTCAAAAGATGCAGTACTTCCCATATTGCCATTGTGACATTTTTGGCTCAAATTTATTTTTAAGTAAACTTGGAGAGGTAGGAGCCTAATTAAATACCATTTTCACAAGAACCTTTATTATTTCTAATCATTTAAATGGACTGTAAGTAGAAAAGGCTTTACAAATATAACAGTCTGAACCACCACAGAACCCTATTTCACAGATTCACATGGCATCTCCTATGCAGGGGACAGCAAGATCCGATCACATTATTAGATCTGTAAACTCTTACACTTGGGTTTATTGACTTGATCTTCAGATAGGAAGATGCCAGGTTTAGGTTTTATCAAAATGACATCTTTATGACATTGTCACAAAAGGACCATGGGAGGCCAAACAATTTTCCTAAAGAATGATGCATTAGAAGTAATTTTCTGCCTAGGCCTCCATTTCTAGAGTGGCTCTGTGTGATGGAAAAAGGAGTCATTTCTTTCCCAATCCCATTTTTGTCAGGAGATCCTGCTTAAGGAAGGCCAAGATCCAAACCCAGTCATCTTCCAGCAACATAAATGGCTCTCAAGATCTTCTGCTGAAGGCTTGTGATGCAGTATAAAGGTTAGAAGGTGTCCTGAAGCAATTTGGAGGGAATGAAGAGGGAGAGAAGAGTCACAAGATGCACCAAAGCAATAACCCACGTAACATAGTTCCAAATGACTTCAACTCAGCATGAAAGAGGAACTGGTAAAATCTCCTTAGAATTTCATTGCCAGTTTTCAAGTGATTCCTTTCGCTAAAAATCAAAAGGAAATTTAGAATAAAATTCCTGTGCCAGCAACGACATAGCTGGAGAAAGAAAGGTCTGACTGTGGGCTACTGATGTTTGCAAGGAAGAGGCTGTTGCTCTGCACAGCATGAAGCAAGAAAGGCAGAATTTACCTGAACTTGATTCTACCGATTCCCCTTCTGTGGGCCTGAGGGACTGCCGATCATGTGGGTTAGTAGCACATCCCCTTAATCAGGATGTTCCACTCTTATTTCCTTCATATGGACAAAGAAACAGAACTTAAACCCAGCAGCCACAGGCTCCTCTGAAGGAAGAATGTATTCACACGTTTAGAACTGGGGAACTTTATCAGTGCTGGGAATCAAGTTGTATTTCAAACCCATTTGGTGGCCTCCACCTTACTGTGCATTCAAACCTATCACTAGTGTAAAGAGACAGAGAGGAGATGGAAATTCTGTGGCTATGGGCCATATACAATCACTGGCCTTATCTTGGCCCTAGCCACCAGTTTCTGCTCTGGAATTGGTTTCCTGTCTAGAAAAGGGTCAGACAAAGAATGTCATTAGTGCTTCAAAGAACTGAAGTACAAATATGACCCATGGACAGGAAGCTTACACAGAAGCATAAAAGACTTTCTAAGTGCCCAGGATATTTTTTCTCCTCTCTCTCTCCCCCACATTTTTTCTTTAAACTGCTCACACTCTTTCTCTCAACCTAGAGAAGTGGAAGACAACATCAACAAAAAAAAGCATAAAGAAACAGCATAAAGTCCATCCTTCACAGCTGAGTGGATGGCAGTTCAAAGGGGCCCTACCTACCTGCAACCCTGTTGTTTGCTTCAAGAACTCTGTTTGCCCAAGGAAAAAGCAGATCCTTCCCCAAAGGAAGTTTCTTTCTGAGTCTGCAACCTGGAGCTTTTGCTTGAGACTCAGTCCTCTGAGCGGATTCTTTCTTCAAACTCTCACACTGGTTCTTTACTTTTGTGGGCAGCTGGAAAAAGAATGAAGCCGTAGGCTGAGGCAGGGACTCCATACTTCCAGGATAGGGAGGCAGAAAGACTGGAGGGGAAGGAAAAGTGCTAGTTGGTAACTTCTTGAATAATGATCTGCATTCCCTCATTTTCTGCCACAGAGACATACACATAGTCACTGCAATAGGGGAGGATGACAAGAGATGAGTACTAGACATGCAGTTTTTTCATGCTCTGATGCCAAAAAAAAATTCCCCAAAACACCGAAGTGTTGAGCTGTGAACTTTCAAGACTTTTAAGACATCTACCAATAGATGAGATCAATTATAAGATGTTTTGTCCAGAAAGTTCTCTCTGTTTGTTCAAAAGTAGATGGGAGGGGAAGGAATTTAAGTGCTCATTTCTTGGAAAAAAAATCCAAATCTCTCCTCTGTTCACTTTCTCTCAAGTCAATTAAAAATGGCATCTGTTTGTTGCAATGCAGTGAACGTCTCCCCATAATCTCTTTAAGAAACAACAAACATACTTACCTGAATACTTCCCTCACCAATGACTTCCTAACCCCAGCCCCAACTCCTCTGTAAAGGCCTTACTCCAATCGCAAGTCTTTTACTCTTTGCAAAATCAGATCGATCAAACACCAACAGCAGTTTAATGCTCTTGTGACAACCTCTGTCTTAACCTAGACACATTATGATTGCTGTGAAAGCTAAGCACCTACCCAAGCTCCTGGATCAGGTTTCTGGATTTCTAGAACATTCCTCCTTTTTCCTGAAAACTTAGATGTCCTAGGAGTTGTCATTACTTGAACAATAAAATGTAAAGCACAAGAGCGCTGAAATTTTCTTCTTCACAAATCCTGAAAGCTATTAAGACTCCTGTTAAGTTTTAACAGTAGCATGGAGCCAACATGCAAGAAAACAGAACTAGAAGTCACTGGACTTAAAACATAATTATATGCATAGCCGCTCATGTATGTGTTTACTGGTTATTATCCATTGCAAAACCTTTCGCACAACAGCAAGTGTCTGGTATTTGCACATAGGGTAGCAGTTAAGCTGTGTGCCTCAGATGAGGCACTATCGTTTTACCCACAGTGCTCTTCATTGCTTTCAAGATGCCAGGTAGAGTATGATCCAATAGTTAATAAAAAGGTATGTTACTCATTATGTTTGATGCAATTTCACTTAATTCACTTTGGAGCAATTTTGGTGGTGTTCCTTCATACTCTCATTTAGAGCACACACTTAAACAAAATAGCTTTATATGGCTATGTATCTCACGTGTCCTCCAATTATATGCTTCCCCTTCCTTAAAGAAATTTTCTTTCATTGTGCTCCAAATACTGCAAGGAGAAACTGAGAAAAAAGCTAGGTTTTGTCATTAAAACCACAATAATAATATAGTTTTTAAAATGCATCTTTTAATTTTTGCACTTAAGAGTAGCAGACACAAAAATGTCCTTATTTTAAACAGGTGACCGATAAAGCCATCAAGGACAGAATCTGATATCCGACAGTAATTAAAACAGAAAAATTAGCAACTTTCTTCCAGAGAAACTGCTTGGGCATGCAAAAAGATACTCTGCTTCTTGGTTCCTCTGAGGACACTGAATATGGTGGTGGTATCTCAATCCAAGGTAAGACATTTTGCTCTGAATAACAGGACTACTTCACAGAAACAACATTAATTGTCTTTTAGTGGAATTTCATGAATTCTCAACAACCTGAGACTGAGATGTGTTCCTATACCTTTCAATTTGACAAAACGCGGCCATTTTGATTTCAACTTTCAAAGATTAGGAGAGTCAGGTTGTCTTTTCATCCCACATGCATGTTTTTGTGAAAGAAGGTCGTTCTGTTTGGAAAAGAGTAACTGACCACCACACACATAAATGTACTTGTCCAACAGATGTCTCCAGAATTATGACATTTATACTCTCCTCTTCCTGTAAGGTAGAGTATACAAGACAAAAATAGAAGAAGAGAATGTAATAAACAGAACATGTTCAATGTAATTTTTTAGTGTTCTGTACTTGCTGGCTAAGAAACTATCACAGAAGGACAGTGTAATTAAAAGCACATTTCTTCTTATGACTCCTTTCTGAATAAAGGTTCTTTTTTACCAGATAACTTGCAACACTTTCAATCTCAGAAACTGTCCACATTGCTAATACTTGATACAATTCATAACTACAACACCATATACAGTGTTATAGGTTTAATTTCAGGTGATGAGTTGAAGCCTACAGAGCAAATCAACCCAGATGAAGCCACATGACCCAGTTTATCGCAGGCTCCTTTCAAACAGGAATCTGCCTAGGGCCTCTGTAATATCAAGGTAAGGCTAACTTTGAGAAATCCTCTCTCATCAACAGGGAAAGATCCTATTCACTGGAAACACACTCCAGAGCACCTATCAGTACACTGCATAGTATGAAATCACCTATTGAAGTTCCAGGGGTATATAAGAAAGGATTACTTGGTCTTATTCCATGAAGCAGTTTAGTAGAAGAAACAAAGATCCAATGTAAAATTTAAGGAAAAAAAAGCATTTATGAGAACTTTGTCCATTGGCGTTTTCCTCATGTAAACAGGTGAACAACAAAACCGTTTCTGGAAGATCAATCTGAAACATGCTGTTAGGTATAACTTGGTTTTAAATTCCTTTCCTTACATTATCACAGTACATCTCATTTTCCAAGAAAGGGAGAGCCTTTTACTTCTCATTTTTATCCTTTCAGGCATCTTTCTTCCCTTGAACAAACTAGTCTTGAACTCTAGACTAAATGAGATTGGTAATTTTTGTATTCTAGCTACCAAAAATACAAGCCTGACTGATTCCTATATACAGATATATATTTCAGGCTGAAACAACTGCATGTTTCTGCATTTTGAGATAAGAAATGCTAATCTTTGCTCTTCTAAAGATTTAAAAGAATGGAAAAAAGAGGTCTACAACAGACCATCCAAAGTACCTGAATCCCTCTTATGGGAATTTTGGAAGAGGTCTTTTTGTTGCCTCACACCAATCATCAGAAGAGATTCAGAACTACTAAGATGGGATGTTAAAACAGCTTAAGGAGCTGAATATGCAACAGCTCTTCTCAGTCACTGTACTGTAGTTTGCTGATTTACCTCGTGCAGGTTGTGATGGGATCCTTCTAGTTGGAGCAGAAAAATTATGGCTGTGATGACACAAGAACAACATATGATGATCTTCAGATACAGATGAAGTCAGGAAAGGCACTGGTAGTTCCGTTTGTGAGCACACAGAAGACTGTACAGAATTCTATAATCAATGTTCTCATCTCCTTTAGGAAAAGAAAGGAATTTCTGCACCGTCTTTCCATAGGGACCTGACTGTTGATAGATATTCTGGGAGGAAAAAATCCTTTAGCATTTTCTTCCATCTTCATTCTCTACATAGCAGGTTTCACTACCACTCACTAATCCAATAGCCAGTGAAGAGAGTGATCCCCATATCAGTGATGAAAAGCTCAATAGCCAGTAAAGAAAAGTTTAAACAACTGTGAGTAAATTCTACAGAATACCATCTGCAAAATATGCAAAAAACTAAATCTATGTATTTAGTAAGTAGTATAGAATATAAGCAACAATACTTTTTTTATTTCTAATACTCAGCTCCAACAATTGCAGGATCCAAGTGAAAGAACATGGAAACAAAATGCAGACTGCCACACCTGATTCAAGTTACCTGAAGCTATAACAACTATTTCTCAACTCTCAAACTGAAATTTTAAAGCATCATGCAATTATTTTAGATTTAAAGTGCAACTAGCCACATGGAGTATTTGCAGTTCTTAAAATGAAACTTGTTCTAGGTTAAGTAGTTTCTGCCCTGCTGCCATTAGCCATACCTCTAGAAATACGTGCAGGCTGCAAACCCACTGCAGGATCTATGCACCAGCATCCAGTTGAACTGTTATTCAAAATAAACATTACAAGAACAACAAATTTTAGTAAAGCATCTTTCTCCTGGAAACTAGCACCAACATGACATGCATATTAAAGTACCAACAGGAGTGATGTAAGGCTGACTGTTTAAATTCCAAGCTACTGACACTATGAAAAAAATATTAGTTTCCCAAAACTTTCTGGGCTTGGTTATTTTGGGGGGAAGGGAAGGAGGAGACTTGACAGAAGGGAATAAGTCACTGAGCATTACAACAACTATACCAGATAACACTATCAAGTCCCAAGATGGAGAAAAGGCAGCAAAACCATTGATTAAAGTGTTGATTTTAAAAGAATAAGTGTCATGCAACCCATCATTATATTATGATACCTTATCAAGATAATGTTATCAGCTAATGTTATCAAGTCCAGAGGAGGGCCATGAAGATGATGAGAGGGCTGGAGCACCTCTCCTATGAAGCCTGGCAGAGGGAGTTAGGGGTGTTTAGCCTGGAGTAGAGAATGCCCCAGGCAGACATTATAGTGGCTTTTCAGTACTTAAAGGGAAGTACTACAGGGAAGATGAGGAGGGACTCGTTATCAGGGAGTGTAGTGATAGCATGAGTACCAATCGTTTTAAACTGAAAGAGCGTAGATTTAGAATAGATATAAGGAAGGAATTCTTTACTGTGAGGGTGGCAAGGCAGTTGGACGGGGCTTTGAGCAACCTGGTCTAGTGGAAGGTGTCCCTGACCATGGCAGGGGGCTGGAACTGGATGATCTATAAGGTCCCTCCCAACCCAAACCAATCTGTGACTCTGTGGTCATTAAAAACCAAACTTGCACGCAAATAGAATGGTAGGGATTGAGCTTCTGAATTTCAGAATTTATTCTAAAGCATTTGGACTCTCTCCAAAAATGTTTTGTGCTCAACTTCTTTAAAGACCTACTGAAAAACAGAGAGTCACAGCATTGTCTAGGTTATCAGACAAGGCATCAGACAATACCTACTTGATACTGGCATAGGTACCAGTCCCTGAAGGACCTTTTTTACTGTCAGTTTAGGAGTGGTAAAAAACTATGGCTTTTCTGAACTCAGCATGACAGAATTCTAGAATTGTATATAGCTGTCACAGCAACACACATCTGGGAAACACAGCTAGTATTTATT